AAAACTGTCCACTATGGCTACAGGGGAAAAAAAGCCTAAATTATTGCCCTGACCTCCTTTGCACTTGCAGTCTCTCATTATCAGTCTCCATATGGACCTGATAATAAAGTGCGAGGAGCCTCGAGCCGACGAATCATTTGTCGGAGGAGACTGCTTTTCCAAGAAGAATCTACCCCCCCCCCCCCNNCCCCCCCTTTTTTTTTTTTTTGAGGATGTCTATCGCTTTCCGGGGAGCGGGGCCAGTAATGGACTCTAATGCAGCAAAGGAAATTATCCACTCATGTCCAATCACTACCTACGAGGCACCGATCAATACCAGGTCCCCAGGGATCAGAGGGAGACCGGGATCGTGCTGAGAACAGGGAGGGCCGGGTGAACTGCTTCTACACACGTTTTGTTTAGGAGGGGTGGGGGACTGAGTCTCTGAATTTACTTTTGGATTTTACCTCCTGTCTGATAGCGTGGCGCCCATCCATCTAATACATATTTTAAAGACGCCTATGATGGGAATTCAGGTTAGACTCTTCTTACAGAGACAGGACATGCTTTATAAAATCAATTATGGTCAATGAAACCAAATTTGATTTGTCAGAAGAACAATTTTGGCAAGTCACTCTTTACACGCTTTATTAATGGTTAACAAGTCATTGGCTGATGCTTCATGCATCAGTTTGAAGCCATGGGAAAAACATCTTGGTGTTCCCTGAATCCCTTTTTGCCAACAAGTCTGCCGTTATAAATTATGATAAATCAGTAAAGCAGTCTGCAACGATTAGTTGATAAATCAATCAAGCAACTATTCTGATAACTGATTTTTTTTTTTTTAAATCAAGGAAAACTGCCAGCTTCTCAGATGTTGGTATTTGATGTTTCTCTTTGTCATTTATGAGAGTCAACTGAATATATTCAGGTGGTTCAATAACACAAGGAATCTGAATACACTGCCTCAGGCAGATTAGTTTAGCATGCTAACATTTGCNNACAACATGACAGCTCCCCAATAGTGAAGCCAAAACATCGCCTCCTAGTGGCTGGCTGCAGTAAAGCTCATAAACCCCGCCCCCATCCATGTTAGCAGACGGTTTCTGTCTCTTTAGGTTAGTTTTAGGTTCTTTTTACACTGATGTTTGTTCAGGTGTTTGTTTTTGTTGAAGAGTGAAGCTACTGGTATCATATGAAACTAGATGACCTAACGCATCAATAGGTACCAGCCATGTCGGGAAAGAGGCTAAATAATGCTCCAAAGTTAGGCTACAATGAAAATGGGTTCAACGGGTACCCACGAGTCTCCCCTTTGACACTTAATGCTAATCCCATGCAGGTTTTTGCATGAAGTATTAAAGTGTTATTTTCACCTAGTTTTTTTTGAATATTTCTGCATACTGGGGTTCATAAACAGTGTTGGAATTACATAAATTGGGAATGACTGAAAAGTTGAGATAGGTGTAGGTATTTCAGTTTGGGCCAAAGTGGTGGACCAACAGATTGCCATCCTCGAGCCAAGCAGCGCCAGCATGGCTTAAAATAATTTTTCCATGACGATTTTGGACCAACTCCAGGAAAAAGAGAAGGAAGCCAATCAGGAAAAGTGGAGCTGTGATCCAATTACCCAAATCGGTCCAATCAGGCCAGTTTCCATCCACTGAAACAAAAAAAAAAGAGTTCATTTAAATTTCTGCCAATTAAGACCTTGTTCCCAGCAGCCACTTTGACATGAAACAGTAGGGTAAACACAGGTAGGTTCTGTTCCATTTAGTGGAGCAGAACATTTCCAATGAACCAACAGGCACGAAAGCAGCACTCCGACTCCGTTTGACCTAAATTAGTATTCCTTGTAACACCAGTGTTTACCCTACTATTTCATGTCAAAATGGCTGCTGTGAAAAAGGCATTACTTCAGTTTAATCTAATTCAACTTTAAACTAAATCTCTTTGTAAAAACCACACGAGGAAAACAAACTGGAGTAGATGTGAAGGGAGAAATATAAAATCTGAATGTGTCCAGAATCGGCCTTCAGAAACACACATCGGTCAAACCATCGTTCTGGTTAAAAGAATCACCTCCTCCCCTGCCTTCCACAGTGCTAATGCCTCTCAGCTATCTGCCCTGTTTCTCTCCCAAGTCATCGTGATCAATTAGCCTCCTTCTCGCCGTCGGCCTGTCTGCCCCCCCTCCCCCTCCCTGTTTTTCCTGTAGACTCTAGTCAAACAGTGGCGTAGTGTACGGGCAGAGTGCCCTAAACCCCTGAAACCATCGCGCCGCAAACACTCTCCCAGCCTGCGAAAGGAAGTGGAGAGCCTGCCAAAGATAAAGTGGAGGACCACAAACAAATGGAGTAACTGAGCTCATTAAAGGGGCGGTGTGGTGGGTCAGCATCCTGCTCGGGCCCGATCAGCTTTCGATGACATCATCTGCATGAGGCTCAGAGAGTCATCGATAAATCTGACGCACCTGAAGAGATCTACAGTGATGAAGACGAGCCCATATCATTCTATTTAGTCAAAGTAGCAACACCACAGAGGTAAAATCCTTTTTTAATGTCTGCTTAGTAAAAGTGAACAAATATTACCTGTAAAAAGTAAGATTGCTCACTGTGGGGAAGAGTTGGGGGTAGTTTAGCTGTTTCTGTACTTTATGCTCTCTCATAAACCTTTCAGTACATCCAATCAAAAACATATCCAGTATCCTATTAACATACTGCTGTAAATCACATGTGAAGGTTTTAGGTCTTTAACACAAATGGTCCTTTGATCTGACCCTGTGACTGAGACCAGATCCTTATCAGACATCCCGCTACCATAAAATCACTAACCCCCAAAACAAACTGTCTACATTTACTACCCCATCTAAAACTTTTATCTCCCACACGAGGAAGGAGAAATGGGAGGAAGAAGGGAAGAAAAAGATGTCAGGAAAGAAGAGTAGAAGAAAGAAATCATGTCTACAATCAATTGTGACAGAATGTGATGTGTTT